TTACAGAGTGCTTTGGAAACCTGTAGTGAAAATCCCTGGAAAGGCTGATGGGATCCTGGCGATACAGTGGTAATACCCCATGCTCTTGTTCTTAGTGTGTGTTCCAGAAATGTGTCAGCTGTGCCTATAATTAGAGCATTGTCTTCATTCCCTTTTTCTTTTCCTCATTAAGTAAATTTTTTTGTGGTGCTGGGACACAGAAGTGGCCCCTCATCTGTCTAGCCTGGTACTTATCTTTGGCCATGACCAGGTGTTTGCTAGGAGGTGAAGAAGGACCCAAGATGAACAGTGACTCCAGTCCCTAGACCATGTCCAACATCCCGGGGGTTAATCACGTCTTCTGCACACTGAGAAAGTTTTTTGTTGTTCACCCCAGACAGAAGGTGGTTGGCAGTGCTCTGATGTCTCTCGTAAAACAGTAAAAATTATTCTCAGGTCTATTGTTAAGAAATGCTCTTGGGCATTTCTCCTGCACTGATGTTACATGGTAAAAGCATCGAGGAACTCTTCTCTTTGGGCTCTTTAGTTTGAACAATGAACTGACAAGAATAATTGATTTTAACGGGAACTCAGACTTCCACCTTGAGGACAAGCAGTATGCAGGGTATGTCAAAACCAAATGTACGTTATCACCTATTGCATTTCTTCTTGCTGCATCCCTCTTCTCATGAGTAGGACACTTTTCCCAAATATCTAAGTCCTCATTATTGTAAATTTACAAGGCTGAGATTTTGCGAATTCTTCTGATGGGCATGGAGAACATGATTTTATTTATGACAGCCTTCGTATACTGAGAAAATGCTGTGTCTGGGGGAGCGTGATTTCACATTTGACTGTTCCTACTGTGATTATTATTGTTAAATCCAGTTCTTTGTTACCCCTTTCTAGTGATGGCCAAATGGTAGATAGGATAGAACATAAGAAGTTGGAAATGTAAACTTCTGCATCACCCAATTAAACACAGAGAAATAGTAATTTCTAGGGCATGATTCACCTCACTTGAAGGTAGACAATTGAAATAGCCGAGATGAATCACACTCCAGATGTGTCTCTTTCTCTTCACTGATTATAAAGGAGTCCAGATGACTCTCAGATGCTGTGTGGTAGACATCTAAAATTGCAGGAGATAAGTCCCTTTCAAGGTCTTTGGCTGAGTATGTCTGACCACAGTGCTAAGACGCAGATTTGAAACCAAGAGACGTGAACTTTCCAGAGTGAAGAGCTCCTATGTTGAATTTTCTCAGAAAATATTTTATCTTGACCTTTCTCTAGTTCATCATCTCTTGCTGCTGCAGATGTCAGGTTCTGTCTCTGTAACCTTGCCCTGAAAGAGTCAGATGGCTCTACAGATGCAGCAAGATGTCTTGCAAAATAAATTTAACTGGATCTTTTAATTTTAGGCTCTGTTGTTCTCTCAATGGGCCCAGCACGTGCGATGGCCGGAACTCAAATTCTGCCATCCTGCTGCCATCCTTTTTTCACAGGCTGAAGTGTATTTGTATTTTGGAAGGCTAAGGCTTGCTTACAGGCTTCCTGGCATGTGGATCCCTTTCTTGGGCTAACAAGATGGACCAGGGGCTGGAAAGGACCAGCTAAAGGGGCCTTTCTTCTGTCTGCTGGCACTGGACAGTGAAAACTGAGAACTTACAGCCTTTCTCCTTGAGTATCAAGAAATACCTCGCAAAGCCACCTCAGCTCCTGACATCCACTGAAAGCATCTTCCAGATCTCTGTGTTAACAGCAGAAAAAGGCCAAGCACCCCTCTGCTTTTCTGGCCCTCTGCAAGTCCCTGGCAGCCCTTGCCGCTGGCCAAGCCCTGCTCCTTGGCGCTGGGATTTTTGCGCCTCAGGCTCGGAAATGCACTTTTGCAAAGTAGGCTAGGAGGCTCTAAAACACAATCCCTCTGAAGTTTGGTTTCAGTGACGTTTCTGTGACAGTTGGTGCCCAGAACTGCCTGTGTGTGAAGTGACAGCAAAGTCTATGTCAGCTGAAGCAGAAAAAACAGAAACACGGCTTCTGCGTAATAGCTCCGTTCCTGGTTCATCATCAGTGAAAAATGGACTAAAATACCCACTGGCATTAACAAAAGGAACGAGTGTCAGGCCAACCTGATTTATTTTGTGACAAGAAAACTGATTTTCTAGACAAAGAATGTACTCTACCTCGTTTATTTAGATCAGCTAAATCGAAGATTGCAACAAGCCACTGGTGGGAGGTAGCCATGGGGACAAGGGGGAGATGTTATGGATTACTGCAAGACTTCTGTGACACTGTAATAAATATTTCATGCTGTTTCACAAATCTCTGGTAAGGTCTCTTTGGGAATAGTATTTACAGTTCTGGTCATCTGTGTTTAAGAAGGATGCAGGCAAAATATCTAGATGCCTAGAAGGGCTGGTGAAATGCTCAGGGGAAGGAAGAGCCGTCTGCCAAGACAAGGCTGAAAGAGCGGAGCTTGCTTAACCTGGGAAACCTCGGGCTGGGGCGAGGAGGGACAGTGCCTGGACAGTGTCCCTAAATACAGCAAAAGGGAAACACTAGTGAAGGAGGAGAGCTCCGTGCTGGCAGAATAACAGATGACTGTTAACTGGTCTTGAATATATTAAGGGGGTTTTTCTTCAGCTGTGAAGTCTGCATTTCTTCCAGATCTGTCTTGGGGTTCTTTGTGGTTTAAACTGATTCATATTTATGAAAGCATCTAGAAACCTTGATTTAGAGTGATGTGAGGTGTTGTGAGGAAGGACTGAAACAGGCCACTGCCTGGGCTGAGCATTCACTTGTTGCACTGGAAACAGAAATAATTCTTTACAACTGTTATTTTTCCAGATGTAGCTACCCTACTTTGCTAAGTGAGGGTGCAGAGCTGGGGCGAACCGACGGTCCTACACCATCTGGCTTCAGCCGCCGCTAGTTTGGATGGGATGCTCTGGTGCCCAGCTCCTTGTAGCTCTGTATCAAAAGCCCAAACATGAGATAAATCCACGTTAATACAGTAGATACCCTCTGCGGTAGGTTCAGCACATCGATGAGGTGCACCACTTGACTCTTCAGTGAGCGCTTGTTATTAACCCAGACCTTTGTTTTCTGTCTGCTGTCAAGTGATCTGGTGAGGCTCGTGTGTAGAAATCCCCTATATGATATACAAAGAAGCCGTGTTTCTTTTACAGGTGATTTTGGATTAGACAGGACAATTTGTCAAAATGGAAGTAGGAAGAACATTGTTTTACTTTACTACAGGAACAAGAAGTCCGCTGACTAGATACATCTTGGCTTTGAGGATGAAAGGCACGAAGTGTCGAGTTAGGCTTTCTTAGATCTTGCTGCTTTATGTACAACTGGCTCTCATAATCGATGAGCTGAAACTGCAACTGTATTTGTTACAAACCTAAGTAGCTTGATTTCTTAAAGGAAAGTCAGTTCAAGGAAAACGATAAGCTGGGTCCTTTAATCTGTTGACTGAATTGCCTGGGGGGACTTGAATGCTCTTGTATGTTTATGCTGAGAACCCTGCAGCAGTGCTAGAAGCTTTACTGCAAGTTCTTACTGTGCAGGTAGTTATTAGCAGGCATTTTGGTAAGCCAAACTTATAAAAGAGTCGTTAAGAGCACTCCAACCATTCCCAGTGCTTCTGCGCTTACGTAACCGCTGCGACGGGTTATTGTCTTTATGCTTTGTATTGCTTGCCTAAATTGAAAGGATATCTGTGGCTGTTAAAGTCTTGCCATGTGGAAGGTCTGTAATGGTTTGCAGCGCTGAGCTCTTGCTTTGTGAGCTGAAATTGTGATTTGGAGGCGAGCCCAAGTGCATATTCAGTGCGTCTCAGACAGCAGAATTAATGAACAAGGTTCAGGATGGCTCTGACAAGCTAATAAGCATATGGGTAAAGTCTATATTTGCTAGGGCAGTCTTACTGTTCAGTGCAGAACTCCTGCAGTGGACGAAACATAAACACAATTTATTATTCTGTTAAGAAATACATGACTATCATTCTGAGGAGCAGCGGGTGTCCCAGGCATGGATGGATGATTTGTCTTTGGGATGCCCAAGCATCAGTGTTCAGATGAGTCCTTCCCGCAAGCATCGAGCAGGAGTTTTATATATATAAAACTAGGTGACTCGCAATGAAAATGGGGACCGGGTAGGTCCTTGCCGTGGTGCTGGTCTAGCTCGAAGGCAACCGTGTGGAGAGACGGTGGTCGGTCCTGTTGGACACGAGTCTGGCCTCAGTCCAGTTTCCAGTGGGCAGGTATCTGCACCCTGAAGGCTGTCACGGCAGCCAGCACCGGCAGGTTTCTTGTGGGCAGAGCGAGGTTTGAACGTGCTGTGGAGCTGGGCTGTACTCCAGGAGAGTCTGAAACAGGTCAGCAGGGGCCATGGTGCCTTTTTATCTGCTGTGTAGCTTGAAGATTTCAAAAGCAAGGGGTCAGTACATCACCAGCACCAAACAAACGCTGAACTCTCCGTTTTAAAAAAAAAAAGTGTTCTTCTAAATGTGTTTGCAAACTTTGCTTGGATTTGCATGGAAAGCCTTCTGAGCCTCGAGCTGACATTTGATACTTTAACCGAGCAAACTTGCTCTGAAATGCAAATTCCTTTGCAGGACACCATCGCTTGGTTTTGCCGTTTTGGGGAACTCCCAGCTATACATTACGCTAACCAAATTGTACCCTAAAGCCATGTACCTTGATAGATGTGCATGCTCATAAATACGGGCTGGCGGTGGCAGGGGAGGTGTTGCTTTTCCCATGCCTCAGACCTGAGAGGTGCTGAACACCCACACGCGATGCTCGCTTGCGTGGCATGGTTAGGAGCAGGACGGCGGTCTGCAGAAGCGGTCACAGACACTAGATGAGATCGCGTGAGGGTGAAATCGTTATGGATTGGAATGGAGGAAAATCGGTTTACTTTGGCTGAGCGCTTTTTTCTGTGCTGCTGCTGTGCATGTGCTTGCATTGGGGAACTGAGCTTTTATTGACTGCTGGTTTTCTGTTTTCAAAGCTGATCAGTGGTGGTTCTATTGTAAGTGCTGAGGCAGTATGGGATCACGTCACCATGGCCAACCGGGAGTTGGCGTTTAAAGCAGGAGACGTTATCAAGGTCCTGGATGCTTCCAACAAGGACTGGTGGTGGGGTCAGATCGATGATGAAGAAGGATGGTTTCCCGCCAGCTTCGTGAGGGTGAGTGACTTTCTTCTTTTTTACCGCTACAATGAATCACTGCCAATGCTGCTCAGAATGGTCAATGAACTGAAGTGCTTACTGTGTGTCTTACCATTGATGCTTATTTCTGGTGTGGCTGTTTTCTGTCCGAAAAATGAGGAGTAAAGAAGGTTTCAAAAGAAATGAGAGTGGGGTAGAGGGCAGCTGGAATATAGCTATTGACTCTGCTTTTTGTGCTCTTGGGATATGGAGTGGCCTTTGCTGTGTGTCTCAACATGTTGTATCCTCTCTCCTGAAGTAGTTCTTTGGAAAACCAGCTAAGTATTTTGCGGGCTATGAGTAGATGATTTGGTGGGGCCTAAAAGTTCACGCTGGCTACAAACGAGAGCTTTCTGGTCAGTGTGTTGCACAGGGAGTGTCTCAGCCCTCCCCTTTCTAAAAGCAGTGCTGCGTTTTGACTCTTCAGCAGTTTTGGATGTAAAATTACTTCACTAATTAGTCTGTGACCAGCTCTGGTTATTTTTTTTTAAGAGGACAAGGAACCATTTTGCTTGTCTCTATTTTTCTGCTGAAGCAGGTTTTTCGGTACCCAGCCACCTCCAGTGGCAATCTGGCCTTTCACAAATAAGAAGGATTTAAGCACTTAATTTTTTTTGCTCAGTATGTGTTAAGAAAGCAAAGGGACCAGAAGATGCCCTTTTTGCTATCATCAGCTCCTGCCACATTATTTGGGCGCTCTCGAGCCTTTCTCGGGGACTCAAGACGTCGGCTTTGACCTTGTGTGCTTCCTTCTCCTCTCCCTTCTGTGCAGGGTTCGATAGGCGGGATCAGAGATTTAATTCCTTTAGAAGCTTAGGGGATATGGTTCAAAAAATGAAGATTTCTTTTGCCTTGTTAAATTGTGTGAAAGATGACTCTTTCCTCTGAGCCTCCCAGGCAATTTGACAAGCTCCGTGGCAGTCGAGGGGAAGGCTGTGCTCTCTGGAACGCACGCTGAAGACCATGCTGCATCCCAAGGAGAATGCCATGTTTGCTTTGGTTCTCTGCCTGTCTTACCCTCCCTCTGAGCCTTTTTTGGGCAACCCTGCACCATCAGCATCCCTGTTTGATTACATCACTTCACCTGGGAAAGAGCCATATGGATTAGGAAAATTGGGTTAAAATATATGACCCGGTGATGCACAGTGACCGCTGAGGATGGAACCCAGACCTTTGCTTGCTTCTGCCTCCCCAGGCCACAATTTTTCTTTCCCCTGTGATACTCATGATGCAGCTCTTTTGTCTCTCCTAGGTCTGGCCAGTGCTAAAAGTTGAGAGATCAGTGACTGGAACTGGAGCCTGGGCTGCCTGCCTGAAAAAGTTTATGCTGTTATTCTGGCCCAGAATAACAAACAGTGTTTAGTATTTTGTTGAATAGGGCACCATGAGTCTGACCCTGCAGCCAGTGGAGATAACGAGTTTGGAAAATGGATTTGTATCAGATGTGATCAAGGTGATAATCTTATTGCAGAAAATATTCTCACCCATGCCGCTAGCACATCTCATCTGTGTTGCTGGCTGGAAAGGCTGAATTAGAAAAATATCTCTGATTATTTTTGCTTAATTTGGAGACTGAAATACTCTGGGCCAGTTTAACTTTTCAGTTCATTGACCAGTGCTGTTTTGTTTTGTGGTTCAGGGGAAAAGATTTAATATCCTTTTTTGTGTGATGTTGTAAACATACTGTTCACGGTAGGTTTAATAACAGTCTTGTTTTCTACTACCCTGTTTTCTAAAAAAAACCAACAAACCCCACACCAAACAACTAAATAAACAAGCCCATTTACTCTGAGGCCCAAAACCATGGGTCATTCAGCTTGGCTGAGCTTTCCACCTCTCCCTACACTTTTCAAAGGCTGCGAGGATGATTTTAGAAGCTGGGAAAAACAAAGGAGAGGAATCAGTGGATCTCAGACTGTTGTACACAAATGTCTGAACAACATCCTGGAACAAACCTTGGTGTTTAGGATTGGGATGGCCTTACCAGGCAAGTTCCTTGCCCATTCTGTCTAATGTGACATCCCCACAGCTTGACTTTATTCCAACAAAATCAGTCCTTCCGTCCGCTCTGCAAGAGGCCAGATCAGTTATTCCATCCGTGAGACACTTGTTCAGTGCGGGCTGGGACCAGACACCTGCCCTGGGACCAAATGATGCGCTCCCAAAGAGGGAAGCTGCATGGGTTTGCCGCCGTGAATGAGAATTAATATTTAAAAATAAGTACCAGGCATTTAAAAAAATATGCAAGCGGAGTTCTGGCACAGTTTGTCCGCAGCTCTGCAAGCGAGGCTGAAGGGGAAAATTTGCCACTCGGGTTTACAAAACAGAGCTGCCGTCTCCACGCAGCACTTCTCGGTGTGCTGCCTCGAGGCAGCCCACTCGCTGGTTGTCCTGTGCTAAGGAAACAACTGCCATTTGGGCTGTCATGTTCTCCTCTCCTCTGTTGGCTGAGGTCGCCTGCTTGCCTCTTCATTTCTATTCTTGCCTACTCCCCCCCGCCCCCTTCGCTCTCTGTCTTTCTTGGTAACTAATTTGAACCAGATGCCTGCAAAGCCTTTGGGGCCCTTCCCGAGGGTGTCTGTACCCCCCCGGTGCTTGCAGGACCATTGTGGCAGGTTTATGCTCCTTCAGGGTCCTGTTCAGGACCGTTTCACCTGAACGCTTTTCACTTCCCTCTTCTCTCCATTTTTTTCCCTCTTCTATTTCTTGTTCAGCTGATCACTCTTTCATAATGAGGAGGCTGGGTTTTTTCTCTGTTGTACTTTGAGCCCTGCTTTTTTAAGATGATGCCAAAAAAATGCCTGATTTAGCCTGGGTGGTTCTAGTTTTACTTGCAAAATCATTGCTTTCCTTTATGCGTGTATTTCTCTTATGCAAGGACAAGAGGAAAAGGGAACAACATGTTGCCTAGTAGAGGATGAAAAGCAGTTCAAGAAAGAGATGACAGGGCAGACCAGACAGGTATAAAACCAAATAGGATGAATTTCAGGATTTTTTTATACTGCAGGTGTCTTGTAGCTACTAACAGGAGGTGCAGCAGAAGATCACTGCAAAGTCAGATTCCACTAAAAGTCCTTTGGATCACTTCTGAGCACAGAATCGGGCTGGAAACCTAGTTTACAATGAGATGTCTGGCGCTTTTTGCTCTCCAGCCAGATCATATGAAAATCTCTGGCAAAGCATTTGGCACTCACAAAATCTCATAGCAGGAAAAATACACATTTGCAAGTGCAGAGGAAAACAGTAACCTGCTGATTCCCTTGGCCTCTTTTACACGCCTAGTTGGGGGGTTGCAAACAAAAACTGCACTTGAATTGCCTGCACGTACAGGAATTGTTGTCTCCATGCATAACACCTGCAGTTATCCTCTTAGTAGCTCGCGATTTGGCTAGAAGAAAGGGGGAGAAAGGAAAGCCATAGAGTTTTGGGAGCACAGGAACTTTTGAGGAGAAACTGGATGATAAAGTCATGCTTTTTGGGGAAGTGAAAAAGCGCAACATAGGAGAAGTAAAATTTGGAACTAGTAAGCAATAGTGAATGGTTTCCTGCAGGAAGCTGCTGCACTCGGGGAGAAAGTTATGAAAACCTGTAAGTCATTAGAGAGGCGGATGAGAACTCCAGAATTAGGTTTAAGGCAGAACAATGAGCTGGGTTTAGGACAGTGAAGGTATCTATGTTGTATTTTAGCGCATGTAATCGAGTGAGCGTGCTGGACAACCACAGGGTGCAACCATCAATCTTGTGGTTAGCTGCACAATGTCCTTGAATGTCCTGTCAAGTTTTAGGGGTCTGAGAAGGCGGGAGGTACAATTGGGAAAAACCACCAGGAATTATAGACAGGATATATATACTTGTAGTGGTGATCCTACTTGTTGCTTTTCTTTCCTTTGTGGATGGCATAGCCTTGGGCTGTCTTTACATGATGTGGGCTGTCTTTACATGATGTGGTACAAATGTCTTCTTGCATACCAGCACATCCAGTGTCCACATCTGCTCAAAAAAATAGGCTTAGTGTTTGTAGGGAGTAATTTATAGCACAGAATAAGAGTCCAATACTGCAAATGGATCAATTGTCATACCTTAAGGTCTTTAGAAAATACAGTAAGTCTCAAAACAAATTTTTGATTGCAGAGCCCAACATCAAGTCTCCGAAATGGCCCAGGTGAGATTCAAACACTCCAAACACAGGAAATCAAATGGCATCATGTTTGGGCTGACATAGTTCCACAGAAAAAGAAATAAAAAAAATGAATGAAAGCTTATGGATGTTTAGTGCTGTGAAATTTTTCCGAGGAGACATGGCAGAATGCACCCATCCTGGGCAGAGAAGGAGATTTATTTTGTTATAAAGCTCTCCTTAATCTCCTTGGATACCGAGGCAGACTGAGTTTCCAGAATACATTTCTTCTCACCTCAACAGCAGTGACTCTTCCTTCCATATATTTACTAAGCTAAGCTACAGAGCAAATCTGGGGTTGAGGAGGTTTTACTACAACTTCTTGTAGTGCCCTGTGACTGTTGAGTTGTGCAGAAATGAAGGGTAATGGTTCTCTGAAGGCTTGAGCAAAGATGGTGTATAAATACTTTGTGGTCTGTACCTCTTACATAGGAGAAAACGCAGGGGTGGATCAGTGCAGCAGCACTCCCTGTTCTCTCCCATCATTGCCTAGGTTTCCCCAAGTGTTGTAAT